CTCTCATCCATACCATCCCATTCATCTAATCCCATTCCTTCTATCCATCAATCTATCCTCTCATCCATACCATCCCATTCATCTTATCCCATTCCTTCTATCCATCAATCTATCCTCTCATCCGTACCATCCCATTTTGGCCATCTTATTCATGCATCCATCTCACTACATCCCATCCATCTAATCAATGTCATCCCATTTTACCCATTCAATCCCATTTCACTTATCACATCCCACCCATGTATCAAACCCATCTCATCCATCCATCCATCCATCTATCCATATATGCTTCTCATCCCATCCATCCATCTATCCATGCATCCATCCATGCATTCATCCCATACATCTATATATCCATCCCATACTTACATCCATGCATACTTATCCTTCCTTTTAGATTAATTTATTTTGTCCCAATTCATAGGAAGCTTGAGAGTAACTGGAAAACTATAAGAGATGAAGGGTTGTCTATCATGGATGAGAAATCAGGTGGATTTGTCCCAGAAGAAGAGAACCTAAGAGAAAAGGGTGATTGGCTACAGTTCACCTTGTACCTACAAGGCAGGAAACTTAAGAATAACTGCAGAAAGACTCCTAAGACGTGTGCTATAATGGATAGTATCCCTGAGTCAACAGGATGCAAAAGAGGACAGGTAATAAAGTAGAAAGGTTTTGCAAAGTTTAATTTAGTGTGAATTTATCTTTAAATTCGTATATGGATTAGAGCAGTATTTGTAAAACTGTGAAAAACTCAGTGCCGTGATCGTGATGTTTTCTGGAATTTAATTGGCTGATTGTTTTTCCATGCAATGGGATTGGACTTCCAGTGCCGTGAACCCTGTTTGCCAGTGTCCACACAGTGTTTAGGCCTTGCTCAGGGTATTTTATTGGATGCAGAGTCTCATGCAATGTGATTGGTCTCATGCATATACCTTGCCCTATCATGACTGTGTTTGTGCTGCAAGCAGTCATACGAAAACTTCTCTATCTAATGATAAAAAGGTAAATTATTCACCTGYGTTTTACTCTGACAAAGGACTAGGGTCCAAAACGTCAGTAGGCTCGGTTTTTTCATCTTTTCACGGTGTATAATTTACCTTTTTGTTATTACTGTTTCGTTAGAAACACCTACGCAACTCACACTAGTTTTTAGCTAGTTATCTCTTCTCTATGTAATGAGTTTAATAAATACCATAATGATAATAATTTAATATCTTCAGGTGAAATTTTCTGTAATGCATCCTGGTACACATATATGGCCACATACAGGGCCAACTAACTGTCGCCTGAGAGCACATCTTGGACTGGTTATCCCTGAGTCTGTTGCGATCCGTGTAGCAGAGACCACAGGGTAGGTCATTAATCAGGATATAATTATAATATTAAAGGTCATTGCATCATTGTGACAGTATTTAGCCAGGCTTTCTTACTAACATCTGATGCCTCTTTGCACTCTATTCTACTCTACTTATCAGGCCCATCACTAGGGCCTTGAAAGGGCGTTTTTCTACCAATCTTAGTTATGCCATTTCTTGGAAAATTAAAATAGCATTCTTAYGAAGGTGGAGAGGAGGGGTGGGGGTTGGTTTGAACCATCAAACCACCCCTAGCGACAGACTTGCTAATTGTCTCTCACTTATTTCCTGACTAGYTTTTTCCTGTAAAAGTTTTCTTGATTCACTTGATTCTCTTCATGTTGCGTTGCACTTCTCTGGGATCGACTGCATTGCAGTGCACTGTTGCACACCTTGGCATGTGACTGCAGTCCCATCTCTTGCTACCTGCACCCAGCATTGCACTGCATTTAACTGCACTTCTGATACCGAGACATATTTTATTCAATATTGTGAAGTGTGTATTTTATATTGGCTACTTGTAAATAAAATAATGTATATTGGAGTTTATAACCAATAAAATGAAATATAATGTAGTAATAATGAATGATATCAGCAACCACAGCCAGCTGTAATAATCAGATTCCCCTTTTCCTTTTCCTTTTTTGATATATTTTGTATATATTATCCTTCCCCCACCCCCATCTCCCATTCCTTTTCCTAATTCACTCACTAAGGATGCTGTATAATATCTTTTTAGGACTTGGGAAGAAGGCAAAGTAGTTGTAATAGATGATTCAATAGAGCATGAAGTATGGCACAATGGAACCAGTTTTAGATTAATACTCATAGCTGATTTCTGGCATCCAGACCTAACGCTCCAGCAAAGAGCAGCTTTATCTCCTATATAGATGAATAAGCAGCCTAGATGTTTAAAGAGTGGAAAGCGCTATCTGGTAGATAAATCCTTATCCCGTGGATAAGTCGGTGCTGTTATTTAATAAATTTATGCACTGGTCTGATAAGATTTATGCATTGGATAGCACTG